TGTATCATTGGGCTTCGGGTTTGGGCTCCAGTTAGTTCCGGTTTTGGCCTATGTATTTTTAATCTGGGTCTTTTTAAATTGGGCCTTTGAGTGGACTGGTTGTAACTCAGGCCTGCAAAAATGTAATAACAAGTTAATAAAAATAAAACCCGGACAAAAACTGGTGTCTACAGCTGCCCATTTTTGCACATTCTTGTGTTAATAAGAATAAGGCAAAGACAACAAGTTTTTGTCTGGTTCTCCCTTTTGTTTTGAGACTTGATTTTGAAGATGACTATGCTCATCCGTGATGAAGAGTTTTGTTCATTTTTAGGTAAATTTGGTGATAGCACGGTTCCTATGTGATGAGAAAGTTTGGCTATCTAAGGGTGACGCTGCTCCTACGCGATGAGGAGATCGATCGGTGGATAACACTATCCTTACGTGATGAGGATGGCTGGCCATATTTAGGGATAATGGAGATAACATGGTTCCTACGCGATGAGGAATTCTATCTATCTAAGGGTGACACGGCTCCTACGTGATGAGGAGATCTGGTCGATGGATGACACGGTTCCTATGTGATGAGGACATTTAGTCATCTTTAGGGATAATAGAGATAACATGGTTCTTATATGATGAGGAACTCTGGCTATCTAAGGGTGATGCTGCTCCTACGTGATGAGGAGATCTGGTCGGTGGATGACATTGTTCCTATGTGATGAGGACGTCTGGCCATCTTTAGGGATAAATGGATATAACACGGTTCCTACGCGATGAGGAAGTCTGGCTATCTAAGGATAACACTGCTTCTACGTGATGAGGAGATATTATCGGTGGATGACACTATTCCTACATGATGAGGACGTCTGGCCATCTTTAGGGATAATTTGTTTCAAGAGAAACTGTCTCAAGCGAGATAAAATCTGTTTCAAGGGAAACAGTCTCAATGTTTTTATGTTTCAAGAGAAATTGTCTCAAGCGAGACAAAACTTGTTTCAGGAGAAACAATCTCAAAGGTTTATCAATTTTGTTTCAAGTGAAACAATTTCCAAATTTTGTGTTTTGAGGAAAAAGTTTCTATAACGAGATGAAATTGTTTTGAAAGAAACAATCTCCAGTGAGATTAATTTTGGTTTAGGTAAAACAACTTTGAAATTTGTGTTCCAAGGGAAACTTTCTCAAGTGAGATGAAATTTGTTTTTAAGAAAAGCAATCTCTAATGTTTGTGTCTTGAGGAAGACTGTCTCAAGTGAGACGAAATTTGTTTTTAAGAAAAACTGTCTCAAGCGAGACAAAATTTGTTTTTAAAGGAAACAATCTCAAGTGAGAATAATTTTGTTTCAAGTGAAACAATTTCAAAATTTGCATCTCAAAGGAAAAATATATTATGTGAGATGAAATTTGTTTTGAGGGAGACGATCTCAAAGGATTATAGACTGCCTACTCCTTCATGTTGAGGAAATTCCTCTATAAGATCTTATCGTTGACTTCAGGATGTCAAAATTGTTCCTTTATGTTGAGGACATTTGGTCATCACCATACTTTGATTTCCTGAAAGATCAATATAAAAATAATGCATTTATGAATGACTATCTTGGATGTTATGATGGATTCCAATATGAAGTTTATTTTATGTGTTTGATTTGATGAAGTTTTAAATTTGTCCTCATGAGAGGGAAAATGTCTTTAATAAAGATAAGATTTCAAGTGAAATTCTTAAAAGTATCCTTATGAGAGGGAAAATCAAAGTCTTTATTGCACATGATGATGAATGTTTGATGCAAAGATGCAAATTCATGTGATGTGCATGTTTATGTTGATGTATGTTTTCTTGATCAATGGTGGGAATGATTGCATGGGCAGTCTTCATTCTTTTTTTTTACACCAGCGTGCATCCTGGCAAATCTGGACTCGTGACAATTTCTTCTTGCCCCAGTAAATTTTACCCCTGATAAAAAAATTGGCTTTCTCTGCCTGAACTTGTATAGAAATCTAGTGGAGCGTCCCTCATGATACCATCATCATCACTGCCAAATGGTTTGGAAAAGAGAATCTATCATTCCAAGCTTCGAAGATTGTGCATGCATAGCCGTCCTGTATCAAGAAATCAAAGACCACTGCCTGGAGTTAACCATCACAATGATTGATGGGAATATTATACTGCCCCATAGAGCCATGATACACATCCATGCCAAGGATGATGGTTTTAACCTTATAAACAAATGGATTTTAACTCAATTGCTGACATCGAATTTAGTCCTCCAAGCTTTGTATAGATTCTTAGAAGCAAATTTTTAAGGTGTTGATCATTGACCAGGGTTGGAGCCATACACTGAGTGAGTATGCCAAACTCGACAAAACTCATAGAGATCATAATTTTCTCATTAGTTAAAACACAAAGGAGAAACTGCGGAGCTCCCAGAAGTTTGGCTGTCCTCAAACATTTAGCAACTTATTCATCATTTCGTGTGGCTTCTGTCTAGATTTATTTCAACCAGGGATGCTCTTTGCATGGTGTTCAGGGATTTTGTATAGCGTTGCAAAGACACCAAAGAACAAATCTCAATAGGAATATAAGTGGAACGTTTTGGCTTGCCAACATTAATGCATAGGAAATTATCAGAATAATACAATTGTATGTTGTGACAATAGACAACACAACCATATATAGTAAGTTCCATTGTCTCTGCTTCACCATTTTCATTCTTCTCACATTTTTCTGACTCATTGATTTCTGCTCAATTCAACGATGTTGTACTTTTTGATGATATGAGCCTCCAAAAATGCCCCAATATTCATAATTTCTTGTTTCAACACTGATTCTAAGTTTAAACTTTGTGTCTGAGAGCCACATGTCAATTACCAAGGCCTACTCCAGAGAGATTATCTTGTTTGAAAATGTTTTTTTCTTCTTTTTTTATTTTCAAAAATTTTAAAAATATCAATTAAAAGAATTTTGAAAAATATTTAATCACAAATTTTGAAAAAATATTGGCCCTTTCTAGATTTTACAATTGAAACAAATCATAAAACAAGAGTTCATTGGATATCAAAGAATTAATTACACTTTTAATCATTCTTGTTTCTTTGATGTTCACTGATCTGATGGAGTAGCTTCTATGCTCATCTATTGGCAGTGTTCTTCGGTTCTCAGCTCTCCTAATTACATTCGGGTTGTGCATTGTCTTATCAAGGGATTTATGATATCGCCTTCTATACAACATCTGTACAGTCTTTATATTCGAGCCACCTTTTCAGGTTTTCAACTCGAATCTTCCTTTTGTTTCAAGACGTTATTCAAAATTTTACATCTTGAACCCCCCTTTGTCATTTTTTCTCTATCATGCATTAAATATTTTATAAAACTTTTTGTAAATAAAAGATTAATCTTGATGAGCGAGATGGGATCTGAAGATAGTTTCTTCTATTTAGAAATCCATGATTATTAGAAGGGACTTTTAAGGCGCGTAATGTAGGTACGGTTCACGGTTACGAAAGAAATGTATAAATAGGCCCAAACAAGTGTTTAAGGGTAATCAAACCAAGGATCAAATTATTCCATTGTCTTCAATCTTTTCTTACTTAATTTGAATATGCTCGTATGTGTCTTTTATTTTCTCTTGATGTTCCATGATTTTCTGGTGAATTGGTTCTAGATCCTTGAACCAATTGTACTTTCTTAATCTTGTGATTTGAAGCTTAATGAGTCACTCCTATTGAAATACTTAATTTATTCTCTTTCCTCATTTTCTTTCTTTTTCTTTCTTTCTTTTTCTTTCTTTTTGTTTAGTCCTCGCCTTGATTTGATCTTCGAACACTTCATATTTGGTTCACCTTGTGGTATCTAATCTTAATTGATGTACTTCACTCATGCGACCAAATTTTCTTCACTTTGCCCCCAGTGTGGAAGGTGATCTTTGGTTAGAGTTGAATCAGAAGAAAATGTAATTAACAGTTAAGATAAGAATAAAATATATTTTTATGTTAAGGAAATAATAAAATATTTTTAATAAGTTAAGATAAAAATAAAATATATTTTTAATGGTAAAATACAAATTTAATTTAATATGTGATTTTAAGTTAAAATATATAAAATGTTAAGAGTTTAACTTTACAATGTATATAGTATATATACTAAATTTAGTCAATTTTAACCAAATAATTACTTTGACTCAATGATTCAATATCCAAGAAATCTAAGATCAAATTGCTTAGCCCTCATTCTAGCTCTCAAAATTTCAAGTTCACAAGAAAGTAACACGTCACTCTTTGATTGGTGTGAAATAAATTTATCATAAAATCTTACTTTCTGCAGATAGGTTGGATTAATGATTTTGTGACCATCAACATTTATGGTAAACTTCAACGTTGAAACCAGTGTTGCTTCATCTAGGTACTCTTCCAAGGGGTGGTTTCAAATCATCAAGACGAATTGTTCCTTCGAATACTTGCGCTAATGAATCTCTGACTGACATGAACCACCAGCAACAATTGGACTCTCCATGACAAAGCAGAGGTCAATTAAAACATCGGTACCCAGCAAAATTACTAACTCTTATACCATGAAAGACGATCCAAAAAATTTTACTTCATAGAGGGAAATGAATGAAAAGAAACAAAAATCCAGGGTTACAACAAGACTAAGAGAAAGTAAATGGGTTAAACTTTGTTTCATTAATCATGCTAACGAAGGCGTTAAAAATGTAATAAAATTGTCAAAAATGTCATGTTACATAGAAATGTGATATTGGCTAAGGAAGGCATAAAATTAATGAAATCTTGACACTGGTAAGCAAAATAATTTGTCAAAAAAAATATGCAAAATAAACAATTAAAAAAATAAGCAAAATAAATGTAAGCAGATTTAAGTTAAAAAAGGACAAAAATAATATACAAATCCTGCCAAATAAGAAAAATTTATCCTAAACTAGCCAACTCTAACTGGTTAAAAGAACATAAAATAGGGATCCATCTTGCATGGCTATTGATTCCCAAAAGCTGAACTACCTTTGTGGAAAGAGCCCATAATATATGTATAAATCCCAAAAACATACATAGATTACTGCTGCCTATTCACTCTCCGGCCATGATTCAGAGTCTTGGATTTCTATGCTATTTCTGCAGAAATTTGATCCACATTACCGAGACTTTTGGCATACTTAGGCCTCCATCGGGTCCTCCCTCTCACAATCTCAGCCCCGTCCTCTCGGAGCAAGTGCTGGCAGTTAATTTCACCAGAATTTCTGGTGTTCTCCACATCGGAATCAGGGACAGCAGTTAGCGAGTGCAGCACGCTGTCCCTCCCACACTCCCTCCTATACTGGAGAGTGATGGCGCAAAGCTCGCGACTCTCCAAGATTGGCAATGGTGCACTCTGCAAGTATTAACTTCCGGTTAAAATGAATGTAAACACCAAACATATAAATGGCTTAATTCATGCAGATTTGAAGAACACAAAATGCAATTTCATACTAGCCAAGCAAAGTCATCAGCACATAATTTGTTTTTATCAGTAACTGCAACGTTAATCACTTCTCAGAAATGCTATGGTAAAGCAGTTATTTTTTTCTTTTTTCTTTTAAGGCACGAATTTCTGCTCTTTCCTGAATAAACCAGAAGTCAAGGTAAAATAGTTAAGTCTAGCCTGTTTCGAACTTTCTAGGCAGAAGCAAGTTCCAGCTCAGCATCAGAGGTACTAAATTGTTATGATTTTGGTTCAACTGTTATCACCAGATGGGAAGACATAAGAGAGCGCAGGTTCAAAAGAAAATCCTTTGATTTGATGGTTGAATCACAATATTACAAAAAGGAATATAATACTTTCATTTGATGGTTGAATCACAATATTACAAAAAGGAGGGGACCTAAATGGCTATTTACCCCAAAACTTGAAAAACACGGTGATGAGGGTGTAAAACTATATTGTTTTGCCTTGGGTATTTAAGCCTAAACCCAAGGCTTTTTATATCATCGCCCTCATTTCTCTTTTGGATTCAGAGAGGGAAATTCTCTCAACCTGCCTTCACCGGCAGGAGGAAGTTGCCGCTCACCGGTGCTGTTCACGGCGGCTGGAAGAAGCAAAACTTCCCCGAACATCCATCTCAACCCCCTTAACTCAAAACCCAATCCTATTCAACCTAAAAAACACTCTAGATCCCTAAATCTAAGCCTTTACCTCTCGAAAAACTTAAAGCTCCGACGACCCTTGGGCTTTCCGACGTTCTTCCGATCGAGGTATGATGTCGTTCTCCTCTCTTCTCTCTTTCCCTTGTTCTTTTTTCTTTTTTTTTCTCTATGTTTTTTCGAAAGCTTCATTTTCTTTTCTGTTTTTTTCGAAAGCTTTATTTCTCTATCGTTTTTTTTGTCTTTTTAAAAACTCCCCCAATCTTTTCGTTCTGCCTCCCCTTTAATCTCCTTGCATGTGGACTTGGTGATGGCTTGTTGTCTGATGAGATAGGATATCATTATCCTATCTCCTTTGATTGACAGAGTAGGATCTGATCTGGATTTGTTTTCATTTTTGTAGGGTTGTTTGACATTGATTTGTTTTTTACTGATGGATTGATTTTGTCACTGTTGATGATGACAACAGATTTATCAACTCCGATGGCGATGGTGACGAAGGTGAAGCTCGGCTTGAGCAGTAGCTGGTTGAGATCATTAGGGTGAAAACCCTAATCCTTGAGTGATCTGGACCGTTGGATGGGTCCAGATCCAACGGTTGTAGACAGTAGGCAGCGCTGGAGCAGAGAAGAAACCCTAGTGGTTTTGGGTTGTCAGGTTCGGCTTGGACGGGTCGGTTTCGGGTTGTATCATTGGGCTTCGGGTCTGGCTCCAGTTGGGTTCTGGATTGGGCCTGAGTATTTATAATCTAGGTCCTTGTAAATTGGGCCTTTGGGTGGACTGGTTGTAACTTGGGCCTGCAACAATGTAATAATAATAATAATAATAATAACATGTTAATAAAAATAAAACCCAAACAAAAACGGGTGTCTACACTAGGGTTACAACAAGACTAAGAGAAAGTAACTGGATTAAACTTTGTTTCATTAATCATGCTAAGCTGGTCAAACCCACTTCTAAGGTTATTACAAATCAAACAATACAATTTTTTGAAGCAAATTCTGAACAAAATGCAATTAAATAAACATTGATGCTTTGATTTCAAAGTTTTGTCGAGGAGAAATGATATAAAAGGAAAAAAATAACTTTCTAAGTTTTGATCTAAGAGTTAAAAAATAGTCTAAATAGCTCCCTTTAGAGAATATATCAGATTATTGGAAAATTTGATTAGTTAGTTATCATTATTATTATTTCATTTTGGTTTAAATAAGTCCAAACAAAGTCATTAAAAATGAAATAAAATTGTCAAAAATGTCATGTTACATAGAAATGTGATATTGGCTAAGGAAGGCATAATATTAATAAAATCTTGACACTGGTAAGCAAAATAATTTGCCAAAAAAATGCAAAATAAACAATTCAAAAAATAAGAAAAAAATATAAGCAGATTTAAGTTAAAAAAAGGACAAAAATAATATACAGATCCTGCCAAATAAGAAAAATTTATCCTAAACTAGCCAGACTCTAACTGGTTAAAAGAACATAATATAGGGATCCATCTTGCATGGCTATTGATTCCCAAAAGCTGAACCACCTTCGTGGAAAGAGCCCATAATATATGTATAAATCCCAAAAACATACATAGATTACTGCTGCCTCTTCACTCTCCGGCCATGATTCAGAGTCTTGGATTTCTATGCTCTTTCTGCAGAAATTTGATCCACATTACCGAGACTTTTGGCATACTTAGGCCTCCATCGGGTCCTCCCTCTCACAATCTCAGCCCCGTCCTCTCGGAGCAAGTGCTGGCAGTTAATTTCACCAGAATTTCTGGTGTTCTCCACATCGGAATCAGGGACAGCAGTTAGCGAGTGCAGCACGCTGTCCCTCCCACACTCCCTCCTATACTGGAGAGTGATGGCGCAAAGCTCGCGACTCTCCAAGATTGGCAATGGTGCACTCTGCAAGTATTAACTTCCGGTTAAAATGAATGTAAACACCAAACATATAAATGGCTTAATTCATGCAGATTTGAAGAACACAAAATGCAATTTCATACTAGCCAAGCAAAGTCATCAGCACATAATTTGTTTTTATCAGTAACTGCAACGTTAATCACTTCTCAGAAATGCTATGGTAAAGCAGTTATTTTTTTCTTTTTTCTTTTAAGGCACGAATTTCTGCTCTTTCCTGAATAAACCAGAAGTCAAGGTAAAATAGTTAAGTCTAGCCTGTTTCGAACTTTCTAGGCAGAAGCAAGTTCCAGCTCAGCATCAGAGGTACTAAATTGTTATGATTTTGGTTCAACTGTTATCACCAGATGGGAAGACATAAGAGAGCGCAGGTTCAAAAGAAAATCCTTAAAATGTAACTGGAGGGAGTCTACCTCAAGGATCCAGCCAATGTACTTCACATTATTCACATGCTGGTTGACATCCAAGTCACTCCATTTAGGCTGCAAACGAGAAATAAAGCGTATTGTGAAAGCAACAAATGAACAGAGAAAGATAACTGTAAGTGCCGAACGCCATAATTATACAGAAGAAGAGAGATGGGAGCAGCAGGGACTTACAGTTAAACCTTTGCACACATATTCAGCCGATCTGTCATCTAGTTTTACTAGTTTCTGGCTGTCCTCAGCCAGAACGGGATCAGAATTCATAAACAAAGGTTCTATTTCTCTACGAACCTCTTCTGGAATTTTAGATAACCTTCTAGTCAGTTTATTCATCATCACCCACACACTGCACATTCACCAAAACCAAAACAGAGGGGACCCAGATTAGTCACTCAAGAAACACCATTGAAGAATGTGCAACCAAACCAAAAATACATATGGGGGAGATGGTAGTTCAATGTGTCCAGGGAAACCAAAATATCAACTCATGTATCGATTGAAAACACATTAAATGCTAGCAAAACAAATTTTGAAATATTTTACAGTTCAGTTATTTCATATTTTTGCTATTCCTACATTTTTCTTGTGAGAAGAGCAAATTTGTGGCACAAAACAACAGATTACGACACAAAAAAATGTAAAAGTTTGTGGTCCTATTATAAAGAATGCCCCACCTCGTGGCTTCTGTTAAAATTTCACCAGTTTCGCTATTGCTGACAAGCCAATCTCTTCGCATCCCATTCTTCCCAGATGCACTGGCCCAAGTGTCTACTTGAACAACATCACCCCTACATGACAGACATAAATAAGTTCAATGTTCACTAATACAAATTTCAAACTACTCATAATACATCAATAACTAATAACTTTTGTGATATATAAGAAAGAACGATGCCAAAACAAAATTCAATCTCTCATTCATTGTTGGTGGCTAGATTCAAATAGGGTTTAGGGTTTATCGTCCTTCTCTTATTCATTGTTGGTGGTTAGATTCAATTGTCTTCAACTTTATACTATGACCTTTTAGCTTAAACAACATACATTCACATTTTAAGGGGAAAAACATGAACAGGTGAGATGTAACGCAGATAATTAACGAAATGCAGAACATTAACATTCACATTATTGAATATAGTCTTATGGAACAAATCAGTCATCAAGAGTCCATGTATATATTGCCAAAATTCAAGAACTAAACTAGTTAGCGACAACACATGCCAGATGCCTTAGGCTCTGCTTGGTATTAAGGATAGGAAGAAGCGAGGATGGAAAATTTATCAATCTGATAGTTAAGCTACAAAGTAGCAAAGTGATTATGAATCTTAATCATTTGATTAACAAATTTACTCACCCCTTCATCCTCCATATAAAATTTGTATCAACATAGCATCACGATGCTATAAACAACTATACGCAATGCGGGTAGAGCAAAAGTGGATTATTATGAATTGTTGCTATAAGAGCAAATCGTGTGCAAGAAAGTACATCTTACCAAGTAGGATAGCGATCAATCACAACTTGCATCCGCGTAACAACCCATATTAGGTTCTTCTTGCACATCTCAGGGGTTGCACCAAAACCTTCTCCAAGCAGTCCAGCACTTCTACAATGATTTATAGCCGTTTCCTGTCAAATATGAGATATTAACGAAAGTTCAGGCTTATGCAATATCTCTACATAAAAAAATTACAAAAAAAATGAATAAAAATTTTGGTTATCAATGTTACTTGTTCAAACATTCTAGCCAAAGAGGTATAACTCTACCTGCAAATGATTCATTAATGTCTCTATGGATGCTGTTCTATCAGCACCTATCTCATATGATCTAATCGAGAAGTTCTGGTTGTAAATAAGACCATCCTGAACAATCTTCCCTATGCCAAATGGATCAATGACCATGTCAGGCCGCCTTGGCTTCCAATCAAGCATCATCCACTGCTTCTCGGCAGCCAAGAAAATGGTTGTTATAGCAGAAAGAAGCATGCTCCAATCAGGCAACTGGTTGATGAACGTTCTGGGAGGAGAACTCACACCATCCTTGAAACTTTCCACAGGACTCGTCACAACTGTGGAACCATTTATATTTATATTTGGATGGGCTTGAGCATTTGCCTTGACCTGCAAGCTTCCAGAAGAAGCCAATGGTTTCAACTTGATGCTTTCGAGGCTAGTAGAACCCGTTCCATGCTTCTTGTTTTTCGATTCAGAAGGGTCCGGAGAAGAAGTGACTGGAAAAAATGACGATGTAGCAGCAGTGGAAACCATGATTTTATAAATTAAAAAGAAACTTCTATCTGCTGAAATCCCTTCTTTTGCAAAAATGCAAGCTTTTTAGACAAGCAGCTGGTGCATGAACACTATACTTAAATTCAAAAGCTCACCTTTAATTATTAAAATCACTTGTTTCGTACCGATAAATAATATATAAATATATATAAAGAGGTTCTTAATCTCCAAAGATCTAGCATTCTAAAAATTACACTACTTAAAACAGAGAGCTGCTGTAAATATGTCAATAAATAAATCAATGACGAGGAAAATATGCCGCAAACCAGAGATGGAATCGCTAGTAAAATAAGAAGAAGACGATTTTAAAACTCTAAAACAATGGAAAACCGATTTTTAAAAAAGGAATAAACAAATGATTGATGAACAGCAACCAAATTTGCCACAAGTTACAAGACAATGGAACATTCTCCAAGCAATCTTTGCAATTTCTCCATTTCATGAGAAAATTACAACAAAATACAACTTAGGGCATTTGGTTTCCGAGAAAATGAGAGAAAAAGATTGGATCTCCTATGGCCGTCACCATCATTCGAAACCTTCCGAGAAAACAATAAAACAAGGCATCCACAACTTCTCGTTTCCGTTGTCCGCAACATTTCAACAGAAAAATAACTTAGAAATTTGTTCAGAAAAGAAAACAAATACAATTTGAAATCTACAAAATAAACATTTACAACACATAAAGTTAATAATGTCTATCTAAAGTAATACATAGAGTTGCAATATACAAAATATACATAGACATGAAGGGCTAGATCAAAATACAAATAACAAAAATAACCATATTTGATGATTTAAGGGACCAAAATAGTACTAATAGAAATTTGAAGGGTTGAACAACAAATATAAACAAACCAGAACCACAATCGAATACAGTAAATAATATGGGTACCAGAAACGAAAATAATCCATAAATACATTTAAGGACTAAAATAACCTAAACCATAAACATAAAAGGGCACTTAATAATTATACCTAAATGCATTTCTGTTAAAACAGTGACCAAAACAAAAGATGCATAAATCACAGGGTCTGATTCAAAAATAAGCAAATGTAATACAACATATGAACTCAGGACCTAAATGTAAGTACTAAAAAATAAATGCCTGAAAAGGAATATAATACTTTCATTTGATGGCTGAATCACAAGATTACAAAAAGGAGGGGACCTAAACGACTATTTACCCCAAAACTTGAAAAAAAACACGGTGATGGGTGGTGTAAAACTATATCATTTTGCCTTGGGTATTTAAGCCTAAACCCAAGGTTTTGTATCTCATCTCCCTCATTACTATTTTGGTTTCAGAAAGGGCAAGAGAGAGAGTTTCTCACTCTCTCAACCTGCCTTTACCGGTAGGAGGAAGCTGCCGCTCGCCGACGCAATTCACGGCGGTCGAAAAAAACAAAACTTCCCCGAATATCCATCTCAACCCTCTTAACTCAAAACCCAACCCTAGTCAACCTAAAAACACCCTAGAGCCCTAGATCTAAGCCTTTATCTCTCGAAAAACTAAAAGCTCCGACGACCCTAGGGCTTTCCTACTCCAACCGAGGTATGATGTCATTCTCCTCTATTCTCTCTTTCCCTTGTTATTTTTTCTTGTTTTTCTCTCTGTTTTTTTAAAATTCCTTTTCTTTTCTATTTTTTTCGAAAGCTTTCTTTCCCTCTCGTTTTTTTTGTCTTTTTAAAAACTCCCCGAATCTTTTCATTTCTTATGGGGCTGTTTGACATTGATTTGTTTTGTTTTACTAATGGATTGATTATGACACTGTTGATGATTACAACGGGATTGATCGGCTCCGATGGCGGCAGCGACGAGGCTGAAGCTCGACTTGAGCGGCGGCTGGTTGAGATCATTAGGGTGAAAACCCTAATCCTTGAGTGATCCCTAGAAACACACTTCTTGTTAGTTAAGGGGTGTTTCTTTAAAATCCTCGTATAAAATAATATACAAAAATTTTTGTTCTAGTAATAAATTTCTAAATATATAATTAAAGGATTAAAATAATAAATATAACAACTTTAGTGATTAAATTATAAAACAACAAGAGATTAAAGTCCCCTATGCAAATATTTCATATTTTAAGCACTTCAAACGTAAATAAAGCAATAACAAATTTAAGAATTAAAAATTTAATTTAAGGATTAAACTATAAAATAATCAAAATTCATGGCCATAAACATAAAAGTCACGCAAGCTAGGAACTGGAATTGTAATTTAACCATTATTAAATTTCAGGATTAAAATGAAAATTATTAAAATCTAAGGACTAAATTGGATATTTTACCCAAAACACATATAAATACAGTCAGTGACTAAAATATAAAAAAAATATGAAATCCAAATTAAAATACATAAAATTAACTTCAATGACCAAAATGAAAAGTTACAAAGCACAAGGACCTGGGATGGGGTTTTCCCATGCGCTGAATACACATATACCCCTCCCCATAACGACGTTGTATAGGGGAGGGTATAAATACCTTTAACCGGCCTAAAAATGGCCTCAACTCTTCATTTCTTAATTTTTCTTCTCGCTCTAAAAAGAGAGAAAGCTCTGCCTTCTCTCTACTTTCCCTCGTCGGAGAGAGGTCGACGATCTCCGACCACCGTTCGTCGGAGTGCTCCACCGTCGTACGACCTAAAAAACACCTCTAAATAACCCTTGTCCAACCTTAAATCCGAATTTGATATTCCCTTGTCCTAAAAACCTTCCAAACGTCGTAGATCTAGGTTTTTAGCTTCGAACCAAAGACTCTCCGATGATGCTTGAAGGCTCCGGTGACAGCGAGGTAAGTTTTTCTTCTCGATCTCTTCTCATTTTTCTTTGTTATTGCTTTTGAATGGATGTTTGTGGTTGTGTTCTCTCCCCCTCTCTTTTTTTCTTGCATGTTATGTGTTTCTTTTATAGGACCAATGGTGCACCTTCCGGACCAATCGAAAGTGTGGCTCCCACTTAGTCATCGGTCTATGACGGTGGCCATCTTAGGGATGGTGTGACTCACCAGGAGCGGCCGGTGAGATGGCTGGGTGCATTAAATGCATCCAGATATTCTTTGATTTGGCTGGTGTAGTCCGACAATGACAGCGGCTGGAATCTGAGGAGTCAGGCGCGTGCAACACAAGCGCGGAAGGAGGACGATCCAAATGGATCGACGACGACTACTAATAATTTTTTTAGGGTATAACCCTAAATCTGGTCCAATCTAGACCTTTAGATCCAGATCAAATCCAACAGTTGAGAATAGAGGGGGTTGAGGCTAAGGGTAAAAATCCTAATCGGGTTTGGGTCTGTTGGGTTGGCTGTTGGACTTGTTGTGTTTGGGCCTGTAATAAAATTTGATTATTATTTAATAATAATAATAATAATAATATTAATATTAGGGACCTACTTTATCTGTAGAAAACATACAATTAACCAGCACTCGGAACTAACAGTAATCCACAACAACCTTATTACTCGCCATCGGAACTTTGTAACTCTTAATACAAGCGTATTTTATGGATTATCTCTCACAATAGTAATGAAATAAATATCATCCCTCCAACTTTCATCTATCCTTCAGCCAATTCTAAGATCGACGCGTAACGAGCGAGGGCAAGACTGCACAAAAGGACGAGAGTCGCTGTGACCAGGCTTTGTACCTAGAAAAGAATAACCGATGGAATCCTCCCATGCATCAAAGAAAGCTCAACATATGGAGCAAGAGATGATCAAAGAAAGCACGATGCAGCTACTAGTCCAAATTCGGAATAATATCAAAGCCACAACGGCACCTGAAGGTTTATCAACCTGGTTAACCTCTTTTCGGTTCTGGTTTACTGGTAGACAACCATAGGGAAGCCTTCCCTTGGATCTAGCCCATCGATATGGTGTAGAACCAGATCCTCTTGGGCGACCAATAATAGCTTATGAGTGCTCTACACAATTGTTATAGGATTCACCCCATGAAGCATCATATGTTGTGTCACATCGATGCCTACTGGAAGGCGTAGATGATCATAAAGACAAGCCTCAACATCCGCACGCAACACCTTTCAATGAGTAGGGCTCTCGATTTGCAGTGATCACCACTATAAACGAATCATAATATGAGGTCAGGCCATTCATCATCGTCGTTACATGTTCAACTTTAGATATCACATTTCCATACATAGCTAAGAGATAATATATCTCTTTTATTTTTGTCATTGTTTCTTTCTTCAGTGTCCGTAATCCACAATGCAAATGCACCATTTTTGTCAATGTCAACTATGAGAAGTATCCTAAGATTATGCTCCATATTCCAACTGATGCCTTTGCTCTAACGAGGTGTGAGAGAATATTTGGATGCACGGTTGAGAGAAGCCAGGATACAAGGGATTTGTCTTGCTTTACATACCGCCACGGATGGACCGATGGGAACCGGTGTGGGCAGTCCCTAAAAATAAAAGAGTAAACTATATCATTGACCATCTAACTTTTGCCTCTTTTTATTTTGACCATCATTTTTAATTTTTTTCAATCATGACACTCAACTATTTAAATACATTCACTCAAGTCACTTGTTGTTAACATTTAAAGGATAATCTGCCGTGAGAGTTAAAAAACTTAGTATAATTACACATTTGGTCACTATTACTTATATATTTATCAATTTAGTCCTAATGATAATAAATTAAACTAAATTTAACCCTCAAATCAAATGATACCATGTGTACAAAACATGTTACTATCCTAATTTATTTTAATATAATATATTTATTTCCTACCAATTAAAGAGTGACATGTGTCACCATGAGAGAATAAAATTTTGAGCGTTGAATCGAAGGCAAAGGGACTCAAAGTTGTGTTCCTTTGGTGATGAACAAAAGCTCAACCAAGTCACAATTCGGTTTAAAATTGACTACATATGGTATATATTCTATATATTAGTGTAAACTTAATTTTTTAAATTTTTTATATATTTTAACTTAAACTCACATAAAAAATTAATTTCACATCTTAATATTATCTTAACTTATTAAATATAGTTTATTATTATTTTAACTTTAGAAATATATTTTATTTTTATCTT